CTGGTCCCGGAGCCTGAAGCATGCAGAGCTGGAATGCGGCAGCCTGGGGCTCTCCCTGTGTCCCCCACAGTCCTTCCTCTGCTGGATCCCCATGGGCACAGCCCTGGCCCTGGGACCCACCCGCTGTGCCACTCCTGAGGCTGGCTTTGGGGCATTGGGCCCCAGGGCGTGCCCACCACTGTCTGCGCTCCACCTCTCCCACCCACTGTTGCACGGGGGAGGACTGCCCGCCTCTTGCCCAGACCCAGGCCTAGAGTGCGGGGACACCGGTCTTGGCTGCAGCCCCAGGGCCTACTGCAGGCCACCGTGGGGGCCAAGCATGGAGCCCCTACCTGCGGGCCAGGCCCAGGTTCTGGCCGTGACTGCCCTGTCCAGGTGGCACTCTGTGGACACCCCCTGCCAGCCAGGTCCTCGCCCCATGGCACCCTGCGCCTGTGCTCTGCGGCGCCTTTGACAGGAGCCCAACCCCTGGGCTTGGCCACTGGCTGCTGCATGACACTTCCCGGGGCGGCCACCCCTCTGTCCCTGTTGGCCCAGTGATAGAGGGCCCAGGGCACAGAGGGCCTGCAGAGACGCCAGGGCCCAGCCTGTGGGGCTGCCTGAGGGGCAGTGGAGGTTGGTGGTCACTGGGACCGGCCTCCTCTCGCCACACCCACAGCCAGGGGCTCTGCCCACCTGAAGGAGGCCATGTCTGCCGCTGCGTGCGTGGGCTGGCACCTTGGGAGCCGTGCCCCTGGCTCCTGGGACGCTTCCCTGGACCCTGCATCCAGGGAGGCGCAGTGTGCCCCAAAGGGCAGGCTGGGCCACGTATCTGCCGCTCCTGAGCCTTGGTTTCCTGCCTGTGTGCCGCTCGGGCGGCACTGCCAGGCATGTGTGGGCTCTGGCCGCCCAGCAGAGCGGGCTGCTCCCCCAAGCAGGCCTCTCCTGGGCCGGGCCAGGCCCCCAACACAGGGCTGCAGCTGCTCCTCCAGTCGCACGCCATGGCTGCAGCGGGTGTCAGTCGGCTCTGGCACCAGGGCCTCCAGGCCCCTCCCTGAGCCCAGCCCACCTATGTTGTCCTGGCCAGGACACACAGACCCCACCACTGATGGCCGGGGGTGGGAGTGGCAGGGACGCAACCACTGGGGACTGGCCCCCTGTGGAGGCAGCTGTTTGCAACTGCCTGGGCTGGCCACCCAGACACCCTCCCTCTGGGGAGATGGGAGGAATCCCCCAGGGGCAGGCAGAGGCCACTGCTGTGGACACGGGGTGGGGCAGGAGAGCTTTCCAGTTCAGAACTCTGGGGCTCAGAACCCGCCAAAGGCTGTGAGAACTCCATGACATCCCTTCCCGGGGCCTCTCCGATTCCCTAGACCAGCAGTCCAGTGGGTCCCCACGTTCCCTGGGAGCTAGGGGGCCATGTCCTGTCTGAGTTCTCCTTTGTGTGGGCTGAAGCTGGCAAAACAGCATTGCTGAACAAGGGGGCTGGGCAGAGAGAGGGCCCAGGGGTGGGGGGGAGGCTCAGCCTTAGGCCTGGAGCAGGGCTGGGCCTTGGCCCTTGCGGGGAGTGGCGTCCTAGTGTCCAGGCTGCCCCCCCCACCCCCCCGCCGCTGCCAGGACACCACTATATTGGGGGGGGGTGAGATCATGGTGGGGACAGGTAGAGTTGGGAGGACGCTAGGAGCAGCGGGGACCTAGGAGTCCTGGAGAACAGAGGGTGGACGCCGGGGCAGGGGTGGTGAAGCGCGCAGACGATTCGGAGCCCGCCCCGG